TATGAGATTCTAGATCTTATATAAATATTCTATTTCACTTGTCGCCACTGACATCACTGTAGCTGAAGGAAGTGCGGTAGGGAACTGAGGCTCTGTGGAAACCTGCCTTCTGACGTGACTGTGATTAAGTTCTTCACTATGAGTGACATCAGATGAAAGTGATGTTTGAACAGGATACTGATTTCCAGTCAGTCTGGACTCTGGGCAGAATTAAGTTGATTGACACTGCTGTGAGCTGTAGGGGGACCCCCAGATCCTCCCAGGACCTGGTTCTCAGTTGGGCTTCTGCTTGTGTCCTCTCTGTAGCTGCTCCTGGCTCTCCCCTCCTTCTAGGGTCTGGATCATTTGAGGCAGGAGACGCTGTCTTTAGCTGGGTCTCAGTGTTTGTCTTCTTCAGTTCTTCCTGACCCCCAGTTGTTTGCCTCTGGCTGGGGAACTCTGGCCTGGCTCTGTACTGATCAGCTTAGTTAAAGCATGTTGGCAGCCTCCATTTTTTTGTGAGCCAGCGTCTTCACCTTTGCCATGAGGTGATTCCTGGTTTGAATCCATGGATCCCGTCACTGCCATGGTTTGGTGGCCTGGACTTTCTTCAGGAAGCAGAGAGGACTCAGGCTCCCAGCATGCTGCTTCCCCGGATGTTTTGAGGAAATCCTCCAACTTCTTTCCAGTTGTGGGACATCTGCTCATGGCTCATTGGAATGGGAGGAATAATCTTTACGGGCTTGTTGGTGATACTCATTTCTCCGGGACTTTCTTTGTTGATTCATGGACTCAGCTGGCCACCACTCTAGGGAAGTGGTTTTCTCAAATCCTGTCATTACGCTTTCAGAATACTTTAAAACCAATAGATGATTACCAGCGAGGAAAGGGCCAGCAGAGGGAATGTCCCATCCCACTCTCTTCACATCCAGAATAACACTATTTGTTGAGGGTGGATTTTGTTTAAAATTTAGCCTGTGTTCTTTTTACTGGAAAAACCCATTTGTCCAGAGCCGGTGAAAAATTACAGTAAGAAAACCCTCTTATCTCCATCCTAGTAGAGTGACTGGCATCTCCTTGCTGCTGGTGGCGTCAGCACGTCTTCCTGGAAACATGTAAGCCTGGCCCACATTGGTCCTTGGTCCGTTTTTACCATAATGGTCATTGTGCATTGTGGTGGGAAACCTTGTTGATCTAGCGCTTCTTCTGGTAGATGAGAAGGAGGCCACAGAGCCTGGAGGTTCTTCTTGCCTGATAACAGCTAATCTTTCATCATTCCCTAGGCTTTTGTTAGGGGGTGCAGGACTCTGGTCCTTTAGGGGGCCAGAGGAGGAGGGCTATACAGCCTTGGGGTGCCAGGGGAATTCTGGGACTGAAAATACATCCCTCTTGGAAATTACACTACTTTGAACGGTTTTGAAGAGCCAGATGGTGTAGATTATTTAGGAGTATTTAGTAATATTTGAGGAGAAGGTAAACATAATCCTTTTTTTTAGTAACAAGTGCTGTATGGAGAGAAAATGAAGAAGGAAACTGAGTGAATGAGCTCTGGTGGCCTAATGGCAAGAAAGCTATACTGCAGTCCCAAAGGCACATGGTTCAAATCCACTAGGTGCTCTGCAGGAGAAGGATGGGCAGTACCCGCCTGTGCGATTATCTGCCTCAGAAAACCCGGTGGAGGGTCAGCTATGGTGGGTTCCAGCTCGACAGTACACAACAGCAGCAACACTGAAGGAATGGTTCTAAAAAAAGAAAATGAACTGGGAAATGGTAAAGGGAGGAGGGAGGAAAATGTGCAACGATGAATGAATGAAAAATCCAACTTTCCTGTAAATTTTCGTTAAAATCCCAGTGTTGTTATTGTGTACTGTAGAGTGGAATCAACCCACCGCTTACCCTCCAGCGAGTGTTCAGAGGCAGTTCATCACACAGGAGGAGATTGCCCGTCCGCCCCAGGAGCAGCTGGTGGCCTCAGACTGCATGCCTTCAGGATTGCAGTGCAGCTTTTTGCTGCAACTTAATGGCCCAGGGAGACAAAAACTCCAAAAGAAAATGAAGAAAGAATGTCATTAAGACTCAGTTTCGGAGTCTGTGTGCCCACCCTCATGCGTCACAGGTCAGCAGCCGTGTGGACAGCGTAGACTCTGCCCCACAGCACTCGCCTGGCTGTAAGTCTTCACAGAAGCGGATGCCTCACCCATCCTTCATTCTTGAATTATTGATGGATTCAGATTCCCTGCTTTTTCTGAGTGCTGTAACCACTGAGCTGCTACAGCTTGTTTAGAAGCCAGTTGTTGTTGTTGTGTACGATCGAATCAGAACTGACCCATAGCTGGCCCTCCTGCAGGTTTTAGAGGCAGTTACTTGCACAGGAGACTGACGTCCTTTTCCTGTAGAGCAGCTGGTGGCCTGAACCACAGGCCTTCAAGATTGCAGCACAGCTTCTTGCCACAAGGCCACCAGAGCTCCCGAGAAGCCAGTGAAGCTCTCTCAATAATACAGCATTTTTTAAAAAAGAAATACAGCTTTTAAAATTATCTTTTGAGTTTTCCAGTTTCTTGCAATTAATTTTTTAAATATATAGAAAAATTTAAAGACTTATACTATGATTATGCATAAACTCATTGTTTAAAAACCCTTTCACAAAACAAAAACAACTCAGTGAACTCACTAGTATGTAGCTAATTCCAGCTCCTAACAACCCTGGGAGTAGGACCAGCCACCTGGTATGTACATCTTCATGTGGGCAGATTGCATTATCGTTCTTCCACAGCGAGCTGGTGGATTTGAACATCTGACTTTCTGCTTAGCAGCCGCGTGTTAACTCCCCACTCACACTGCTTGGAGTCTGCTGTCTGCTTTGTCCCATGGCCGTCCATTTCCCATTTGTCCAGCTCATCTGCACGTCAGGCCATCGAGTTGTGATGAGCTGTAGGCACTAGAGAGTCTCAGGCTTCAGTTCACTTCCTTGCCTTCCTCCCCTCGTTCCTTATCTGTAAGCTCAAAGATGGGCACTCCAGAACTGAAACCAGAACGTACACCTCTCTTCCATACCTTCCCTGCATCCTGATTTTAAACAACACCACACAATGGAAGAAAGGATGAAGTAACCGAACTTGTGCTGAGTCGGTCCTGCTTTGCTTTCTGAAGGACAGAGCTGAAGTGGAGCTGCCCATAGGGTTTCGCTAGGAACTGTGTCTGTAGAGCTATGTGGCTGGCTTCCCAGAGGCAGTCATCTCGGGGTTCAGACCCAGCAGCAGCTCCACAGAAACAAGACGGACAATGTCTTCCTATGAGAGTTACAGCCGCTCAGACCCCCGAAGGGTCAGCTGGGAGTTGGTCCTGACTCAGCATTTAAGTTTGAGGATTAGGGAGAGTCACTTCTGAGCAGAGGGCTGTGAGGAAGGGGCTCCCTCAGAGCTCGAAGCCAGTGGGGGGACAGTCACAAGGGCGGGGTGGGCCTCGCTGGTGGATTAGGTGCTGGAGGCTTTGCTCCTGTCCAGCCAGCAAGGGAAGATGCGGTTCAGGAAAGGAAGAGCCAGGATTTATGTCTCGTGAGGACTGCCAAACGGTACTTGGAGAGGAAATCGAGATGACATTCCAGGCTACTTATTTGTCCATTTTATAATCAAACATCAGGATGTAGGATCTCAAGCTGCTCAGAAGACTACAGCCCCACCCGTGCTGTGGCCACTGCTGTTAAAAGGTAACCCCCACTTTAAGTGAGGTGAACCCCTTTGCAGGTGGGAGCCGGTGGTCTTTCTGAGGAGATCTGGGTAAGGGTGTGGCAGAGGAAGACGCTGTGGCCACTGCTGTTAAAAGGTAACCCCCACTTTAAGTGAGGTGAACCCCTTTGCAGGTGGGAGCCGGTGGTCTTTCTGAGGAGATCTGGGTAAGGGTGTGGCAGAGGAAGTGCAGAAATGCCAGTGGGCACCACTGCTTGAGAGATGTCTGGCCCACCAAGGCTAGTGACCTGATGGGGGACACGGGGGCACACGTCGAAGGCTCTTGGAGACACCAGCTGCACACTTGCTGATACAAATGCCTGTTTGAGTGCTTGCTTTTTTTAAGTGATATACAAGAGATTTATTAAGGAGCCAAACAAGCTACAACCTTAAGGTGAGAGGTGACATGGGTTGTGGGGGCACCGACCCTGAGAAGGGTCAACTCATATACCGTAGACCAGGATGAGAAGGATCAGAGAGGCAGGAGGAGGGGGAAAGAAGGAGAAATAAGCAGAAGGAATAGAAAAAGAATTACAAGGGGAAGTGAGATGAGAGCAGTTACATTGTGGCTGTTACAATTAGTGTGGGAGAAACTGTGTGAATGGTCCAATGCGAAACCAGTTTGCTTTGTAACTTTCACTAAAGTCACAATAGGAAGGGAAACATTGAATCTTAAAAGTGTTTTCCTAAGGTGCTGGGCCCCGTCAGAGCAGCCCCGCTGACCCAGGGACTGCCTCAGGTGTCGCTCAGTATCCCTTAGGGTCCCGTGCTGCTGAGGCCATGCCTGTGGGCGCTGTGGCCTGGGCTCAGGGTCCTCGGAAGCATGTGTTCGTGGTTGCCTGTAGGATTACCAAATGAGCTTGTGTTTGTTGACATTTGGCATAATTCTTTAACTTTTTAAAAAATAACATTTCTATTGTGGTTTGGGTGAATGTTTATAGTTTTCTTCCCCGTTTAGGGGCTGAGGGCAGGCCCCAGCCTAACAGGCTCTCTCCTGCTCCCTCCCTGGGTCCCCACGTCCACTCACCCATCTTTCCTGCCCCTTGCTGCCTCTGGGCTGTCTTTTGGGGCCGATGCCAAATGTGTGCTTTCTGCAGTCCAAATCTGTCCGGAGGCAGTGCAGTCAGAATGTTCCTTAGGAGGCAGGATGCCGAGATCTGGTCTCACGTACTCTGGGCATGTCATAGACCCAGCCACTGCCTGCAGTACAGGAGGGTCCACGAGAGAGGAGGAGCCCCAGTGAGATGGACAGACACAGGGCTGTTCGGATGGGCTTGCGCTCCGTAGAGCTTGGTGATGGCGCAGGACAGCACAGGGCTTCCTTCTGTTGTCTGTGGGGTCACTTTGAGGAAGAGCCCACTCGATGGCACTTGGCAGTTACAGCAGCTTGTCTCTGCCTTGTCTGATCTGCGTGCAGTTAGAAGCATTGAGGTTTCCGAGCGGCCCCTGTCACTTCACGCTGTGCCCGAGATGACCCTTCCTCCGTGCCTTCCCTACCTGGCTGGCTGCTCACTTCTCTTCCTGGTGGTCCTGCTCCTGGGTGATTTGTGTACCATAAAGGACGTCTTGGCTGCCTCCCATTTGAGGCAGTTCTGAATAAACCTGTTACAGACACAACGTTTGCAGGATTTTGTCTCCATTTACGTTTTCTGCTCAGTTGGGTAAATGCTCTGGGGTGTGAGAATCACTCTTTCCCAAGGGGTTTTGATTCCTGGGTGTGGTAGACCTGCTCCTGCTGCCCCCGCTTTTGTCACGCCGTGGGCCCTGCATCCCTGTGCACATGGGTGGGTGTGTGTGGAGACGCTTGTGCCCTGACCCTGTTCCTCAGCAGCGTGTGCTCACTTGCTGCCCCTGGGCCACGCCGTGGTCCCCCTTGCAGTGGGTCAAGCTGCTTTACCACATCTTTGCACACTTCGTAGACGATGGTGAGTCAGCTCGGAAGGGCATGTGCCTTGATCCCGCCAGCTGCTCCCCCAGAGAAGGTTGGGCAGTCGTCTCCCTTGCTGCTTGCAGCCTCTGAAAGCCCCCCGCAGGGTCAGCTGTGGGTTGGTTCCGAGCCGGCAGCACAAACACCACTGCCAGACTACAGCAGGGTGTTGACGTAACTTCTCTCCTCACTGGGAAGCCAAGAACTGGCTCACGTGATTGTGACCTCCCTTTCTCGGTTGGGACACACCACCGCCTCTCTGAGGTCGCCTGTGCTCTGAGGCTGTTTCCCGCCCACCTGCAGCCCGGCTTCTGCCTGCACACACTCCACCAGGCAGGTTGGAGGGCAGAAGTGGCTTCTCCTGCTTTTTTGACTTCTGTGAGGTAGAGAAGTTCCTTGCTCATTCTTAATTTTACATACTTGAGATAAACATTTGTTGTCTTTCAAGATCTCAAAAGGCTGCTTGCTTTGATTTGCTTTCCGATGCAGTATCTGTTTTGAGATGCCACATAGTACTGAGGAAGAACACTAGAGTATTTGGGAAGTTTGTGAGGTAGTCGACACCTATTATGATCCCATTTACGGAGGAGGAACCTAAGACACAGAGAGGTTAAGTGAGTTGCCCAGAGTCACACAGCCAGTAAGTGACAGACAAGATTGAGTCCACGTAGCCAGACCTAGCTACTCTGCCAGTTTGTGCATTCATAATTTGAGTTGGCATTTCCATATTTCTAGCTACACTCTGAGGGCCGAGTAGCAAGAAGCTGCACTTCAATCCTGAAGGCACGCAGTTCGAGGCCACCAGCTGCTCGGTGGGAGAGGGATGGGCAGTCTCCTCCTGTGCGATTACCTGCCTCTGAAAACCCACTGGAGGGTCAGCTGTGGGTCGATTCCAGCTCGACAGTACACAGCACCACAAACAGCTACTTTAACGCCGCGCAGCACGTCTGTGTTCAGCAGAATTGCTTAGGGAACCTTGTACTTCAGTGCTTTCCATTTGATGGACATGAGCTGTTGGTTGGTAGGCACCAGTAAATGCATCCGGACACACAGCAGATCGGGGTACAGGACACCCAGACACCACAGTCCTTGTGGTCCTCACAGTCTTCCTGACACAGCCACTGTCGTTCCATCTCCCCAAGGGGCCTTCTATTCTCCCCTGGCTCTGCTTTACCCAGCATGACATCCTTCTCCAGGGACTGATCCTCGTGGGCACATGCCCACAGTACGTGAGGTGGCACCTTGCCGTCGTCACATCTGTGCACTCTGCCTGTACGTTTTCCAGCGTAGATTCAGGCAGTCTGTGGGATCGTCAGTGTTCTTGCCATCACCAGCTAGTCTTCTTTGGTCTTCCTTGTTCACTTTCTAGGTTTTATATGCATATGATGTGAAAATACCATGATGTGGATCAGGCACGTCTTAGTCTTCAAAGTGACATCCCGACAGGCACAGAGCAGAGCCAAGGATTTTAGACCAGAGTCTCTCAGTGATTCTGACAGAGTAGTCCGCAAACAAAAGTGCCACCGACAGTGAGTTGGAATGCAGTGTTTTTTTGCTAAAGATTCCAGAAAGCTGGTGAAGGCCTTGGCTCGCCTGTGCCATTCTGCTGGACGGACCTGGAGGGTGAATGGCTGTGTGCCGCTGTGCTAGGCAGGTTGGCTGCGGAAGTCCTGTGCTGCGTTGTGGTGGCATGGCCCTCCCCAGCAGGAAGAGTGGCAGCTGTGGCTTGGCCTGCTGGTTGTCAGGGGGGTATTTAAATACCAGAATCTGAAAGACTGACCTGGGGGAGCTTTGCAGCACCCTGAGAGGGCAAAGACCAAGTAGGCGTTTCAGAGGCCGCTCTCACACAGAGCCTATGGCTGACCCTTTCTCTCAGCTTAGTCGTCAGCACACACTCTAACATGTTCCTGACAAGAGAGCCCCCACACTGTCGTCAGACCAAACAGAAACCCCACAGCACGTCGATTTGACGCCTGGTGACCCCCTAGGGGTTTCTCCAGCTGTGGGTTCAGACCAGCAGCCCTTTGGCTTATGGCCTTAGAGTCACTACTGATATAGGACTAGCTTTGTTAGCTCTTAGGAGAGGACTGTGTCAACTCTGCTTGACACCTCGCCAAGACCACGCGGTTCTTGAGTGTCGAGGAGGTCCAGGCCCGGCTCCGGCAGCCCCCGCCTGCCATTCTGTTCTGAATGCCCGCAGGCGGAATATCTGGACACTCGGATGGTGCCGGTGTCCTAGGAGCTCATGTTAATGTAACATTTTAAATTCATTTTTTTTAGTGTTACAGAAGGGGTCCAGGCAGATAGATATTAGAGGTATCACAGGTCCCGTTCCAGGGCATTATAGTGAATATCAAAATAAAGTGGTAAACTTCTTCTATTTCCCAGTGCCTGTGAAAGTTGTTTCCACTGTGCTATATGTCCTTAGTACACAACAGTGTGACACAAAGATCAAAAGGCTGTGAGAATGAGCGCCATGTGATCTAGAGACGGGAATGAGCATGTGCTGTTGAGAAAATGACACCAGTAGACGCACTTGACACAGGGAGGCACCAGCCTTCAGGTCGTTAAGAATCGCAGTATGTGCGAAGGTCGAGTGACGTGTTAGTGAGCTCTTGGGCCAGTGTGTACATCCGTGCACACGTGTGCACGGACACTCAGAGGAGACAGTCCACAGAGGTTAAAGATGCACGGGCGGACAGTGAGAACAATTTGTTTCTCTTCCCGCATTACACACGAATGTTTCCCCGAGTTTCCCATCCTACAGTACAACGGACGGACCCCCTGAGGGGCTTCTCCGATTGCCCTTCCCACCTACCCACCGCTTTCCACAAGGAACCACTACCAAATATCAAGAATTTGGAGTTTGCCATTACTGTGCACCTACCTAAAAAGCTATCATGTTGCTGTGAGTACAGTGTTTGGCTGTCTCCAAAAGATCAGTAGTTCAAACCCAGCAACCACGTCGGGGGAGAATGGCATGAGTCAGTTGGCTTCCGTAAAGATTTGCAGCCTCAGAAACCTTACAGGGCAGTTCTGCTCAGTCCAGCAGGGTGGCTGGGAGTCAGAACCGCCTGAAGGACAGTGGATGTTGTGTGCAGCTGTTTATATCCTCAAAACATTAACAGGCTGTGCTTGATTTTAGATATGATAACAGTTACCACACACTCGAGGATCTGTCAGTCTGCCCTTTTATTGCTGTATTTACAATTGCCATTTTAAGACAGGAAAAGAGATGCAAACCAAGAGACAGGCGGGGTGAGGTCTGGGAGTGTCCCTGACACTAGCCTCCCTCATCCCTCTGCTCGGCCTACTCTCCTGCCTGAGAGTCCCGTGTGCCTAGACCTCGCCCGGGGCTGTTTGGCGGGCGTGTGGTGTTATGGCCTGTCAGCACCCCGCAGTGCTCTGTGGCCTTTTTGGTGGACGGTTGGGGGTTTCTCTGTCAGTCAGTGCTGCTTACTCTGTGGGCTGGGGTCTCTTGAGCGTGGTGACTTGCTGAGTGTCACACATGCCCATCTTCAATGGAAGTGACGGTCCCAGATTACTCTCTGGTGGAGCCTCGTTTACTCACGTGACTGGATTTTTCCCTCCTTTCAGTGCCTGAGGACCTTTCTTTGGAAGAGAGAGAGGAGCTTCTAGACATCCGGCGAAGGAAGAAGGAGCTTATTGATGACATTGAGGTGAAGACATCTCTCTTACCTTTGGGGTAAAGAAGTAAACCAAGGAGCTTGGTGAGATTGTCAGAAAGGGCGTCCGGGGGAGAGGGGGTGACTACAGACCCCATGGAGAGAGAATGTGAAAGGCTTGGCCATCCTGAGCAGTCAGCTCAGGACAGAAATTACAACATCGGGAGTGGTCATAGACGTGGGACTCAAAGTTGGTTAACAGTGACCACTTAGCCCGCTGCTGTTATTTCTGACTCCTAGTGACTGGAGGGTGGGGTGGAGCTGCCCCTGTAGGACTGGGGGTCCTAGGCCGTGGCAAAGCAGACCACCTCATCTTCTCCCCTGGGCCGGCTGCTGCACTGGAGCTCTCAGTGAGGCGCCAGATGTTGAAATCGCTGTGCCACCAGGGCTCCCGGCCAGAAAGCAGCACCTGGGATGTTGCTGACATTTTTGGCACTGAGGCAGTTTTTGAAGGAACGAACAAACACACGCTTCCACGACATCCCTGTGCCTGCGGTGGTGGGAGCAGGAGGACGAATGAACAAAGGTGTCCAGGCGGGTGGACCACAGCTAGGATGGATGCGGGGATTGTTTGTGGGGATGGCACTGCCCCCACCCCGTATGCCCCTTCCATCTGGGGTGCCCTGGGCCCTGTTCTTTACACCAACCAGTAGAAAACTAAGCAGCTTCACCAGGCGCAGCCTCCACTTTGAGACACTTCCAGTCCTCATCGTGCTGAGATAAGCGTGGCCGCAGGCCTTGTGCTGTCGGGCGGGGCCTTCCAACAACAGCTCTTTTCTGGGAGCACCTGCCTGGAAGCCCCAGCCTTTCCCGCTCAGTGACAAGGCTCCAGATAGAAATTCCTTTGTCCTCAGGTGATTTGTGGAACTCCTTCTCCTCGGGTTACCCTTCATTCCTAGATAAATCACATAACCCAGGAACATTCTCAAGGACAAGTATCCCTGTGTGGAGATGGGGAAGAATGCCACCCATTGACTCTCAGTTAATTGGGATCTTAATCTAGCTCTGACCTCGAACTTCACTTTGTGGCTGGAATATTGAGGCCTGGAGAGGTTGGAGGACTTGCCAGAGGCCCTTGGGCAAGGACCAGGGGTGCCTTCTGGACTCCTAGCTCCCTGTGCCATAGCACAGTCAGTCCCCATCCATGGTGGGCTCTGTCCACAGTGCCTGTCCCACATGGCAATGGCTGTCTGCCTGAGAGCCATACTGGGGCCCCAAGAGTGAGGTCAGGCGTAAGCTAGAGCAGCGCCCCACCATCCCTAGGACCTTCCTGGAAGAGTGTGGGTGGTGGCCACCATCGCAGTGAGGGGACCAGAGACCCACAGCTTCCCAGTGCGCCCTCCGCCTTCGTCCCCGATGGGGCCAGCAAGCTTGGTTCCTCCACCGTCTGCTGGCCCTCCCTGGGATACGGACTGTCCCAGTCAGAGCCTGGGCAGACCCACTCTGTCAGATGACGTTTCACAGACCAAAGGACCGGGACACCCTGCCTCGAGCAAGCCGGCTGGCAGGCCTTTCCAGCAGCACATGTGCACTGTGTCTCCCTCAGTTCCCCAGTTTTCAGCCTGTTGGTAGTGCTGTCGCGCTAATACATGATGTGCACTGGGAAAGCCTGGCCTCTGCAGGGCTCTTGATTTCTCTGTTTGCTCTCGTGGCAGAGGTGGGTGTGAACCTGCAGTTCTCCAAGGTCTCCTGGCCTTCTTTGCCAAGCCAATAATGCTCGATGAGCCCTCAGGGGGGCATAGGCCTGCAGAGTCTGGGAGGAGGGCGGCCGGCGGAGATACCTGCTCACCCAAGGATGTTCTCTCTTGACAGAGGCTCAAGTATGAAATCGCAGAAGTGATGACAGAGATCGACAACCTGACTTCTGTAGAGGAGAGGTAAGTATGTGTTTGCGGCTGCACCTCCGAGATCCCACGTCTCCTCTCTCTGCTCCCCACTCCAAGAGAACAAGGGGGGGCACCTGCCAACTGGGGGGCCTCTGGGAACCGTCCCTTCTGCACCTCTCTGCCCTGAGGCTTTCCTGCCCCCCGTGCATGAGTCAGGGATGCTTCTCTGGATGCCACGTGTCTTCCCGACCTGTTCTGTGCTTTGCTGCCCGCCATCACAAGTGGATCTGTGTAATAGGAACCAGGATTTCTTCAGACTGTCCTTCTGCTCTGTTAGCTTTCCCTGAGCAAAGGTTTTCAAGTGACTGAAGGGCCAGAGCAGCCCCCCAGTGTCGACTTCCACCAGGGTGGGGGGTACCCATTGGGAAGGTGTGGGGAAGAAGCGAGACCTCCTGTGCTGTGTGAAGGTTTCCAGAAACATCCACGAGTGACTTTCTGTTTCTTTGAAATGAATAGCAAAACCACACAGAGGAATAAGCAGATAGCCATGGGGAGAAAGAAGTTCAACATGGACCCCAAGAAGGTGAGTGCCGCTCTGTGGGCTCTCGGGTCAGTGACTTACTCCCTGAGGTGCAAAAGTGCTCACAATGACCTCGTAACAACGTAGTGTCAGTGTTGCAAACATCATTAAAACAAGGGGCTGCTGATAAGTGGGGAAGGAGCTCTGGTAGCATGGTGCATTACATGTGGGAAAGCTAACTGAAAGGTCAGCGGTTCGCGTCTACCAGCCACTCCGAGGGAGAAGGATTTGGCAAGAATTACAGCCTTGGAAACTGATGAGTGGCGCGAGTTGAGGGCAGTGGGGGCCGTCCTCGTCCCTCCCCTCCTTCTTCTCTTCCTCACCGGCCGTTTCCTGCTGGCTCCTCCTCCCCAGCCGCTCGCCCGGCTTCCTGCTCTTGCACAGGCGAGCTGGACCTTCCCTTGATGCCCACCTTTGCCTTTGACCTGTGACCTCAAAGTACTAAAGAGGCACCATTGTTCCCATGCCACCGACTTTGCTTAGGTGCCCATAGCCTGTTCCAGAGCTCTCGCCAGGAAGCTGTCGACTTTGGGGAGAGCTGGCTTTTATTTATTTATTTATTGATTGATTGATTGATTGATTGTGCGTGTACCGTCAAATCAGATCTGACTGGTACAGGAGGGAAATTTTCCCTCCTCCTTTGGCAGAGCATCTGGTGGATTTGAACCATGTACCTCTGGGATTGCAGTACAGTTTCTTGCCACTAGGCCACCAGAGCTCCCTGAGAGCTGGCTTTTTAGAGCAGGTGGTGACATCTGAAGAGCTCATGGACACCCTGTCTAAGGGGCCTGGCCCACCCTTCTGGCCCTCTAGTCCTTTGAGACTTCAACAAGAGAGACTGATGGGATCTGGTTGTCCAGGACCTGGCGCTCAGCGTGTGACGGGCTGAAGGACCCCGTGACCATCATGAGAGCGGGGTGGAGAGGAGGATGTGGGTGGTGGGAGTCTGACAGCACTGGGCCCTGCAGAGGCGCCCTGGGTGGTGGGAGTCTGACAGCACTGGGCCCTGCAGAGGCGCCCTGAGACGGTGTCTGCGGACATGAAGCTGTGCTTGCGGGGTTCCGGCTGTCCTGTCTTCCCCAGCAGGAAGAGGTGTTGGCCACAGTCAGCTGGGGCTGGATCCAGAACTCCTGGGGCAGCAGATGGGATCGCCAGGCCTGATGTCACCCCTGGCTTGAACCAAGCCTCTTTCAAGGCCCGTCTTGTGCTGATCCTGTAATCAGACTTTTAGGTTCCCTCCCACCTGTTCCCCACAACTCTGCTCTGTGGGTCCTTGTAGTGGGTGTGGGTTTTGACTGACACGAGCTCAGTGGTCCAGTGTTCCCATTGATGTATTCAGCCACAGGATACCGGATGGTCCAGGTCCACATTGCTCAGATGCATGGAGGGGTCTTCTCTCTCCCAGCTGGTGGAGTGGAAGGTGGCTACAGGTGGCAGAGCCATGGTCCTGGTCACCCTGGCCTTCCCCTCCTGAGATGACCACAATGGCCACCACCATCACACTTATGTTCAAAGCAGGATTGAGTAAGGAACATGGTGCCAGCTTCCCAGGTCCCTATGATCACAATAGCAGAGCCCCCCCAGGGCTGTCCTACAGCTTGCTTCATGTCTGTCTGTCCAGATCTGGGTCACAAGGTCCTTTCTAACTGCAAGAGAGTCCAGAAAAATGACAGTTCAGAGAAAGATTGTCAGGAACAGGGGTTGGGACTGGGTGGTGGTTGGCCTCCTGAAGTGCTGACCACAGTTTCTCTCCATTTAAAACGAGTCCTTTTCCTAAGCTTGAAGATGAGAGATGAGTCCTTTTTCTTTTGTAATCTCTAACAGCCTCTGAGAGTGAATAGTCCATTAGCTCCCATATTTGTCTTTTAACCTGTTAAATAACCAGAAGGGGTGGGTGTGCTTTCCTTTAGTGGGTAAGGTGAGTGTGGGGTTTTGAAGAGCAGGTAGTGTATGGTACGTGCTCTCTGGTGTTGTCTCTGCTGTCCCCAAGCCCATCCGCTCCTTCCCCTCTGTGCTTTCCTGTCTTTGAAGAATGATTTGTGTCACCTTCTCACTGGTGCCTTCATTCTTCCTCAGGGAATTCAGTTTCTAATAGAAAATGACCTGCTACAGAGCTCCCCAGAAGACGTGGCCCAGTTCCTTTATAAAGGAGAAGGCCTGAATAAGACAGTCATCGGGGACTACCTGGGCGAGAGGTAAGTGACCGGGGAGTGAGCAGCCCGAGCTGGGCTTGCCCTCTGCTTGTGTCTGTCCAATCATCTCTCATGGGGGAGGGCTCCCAGGCCCCTGTGGGGAGAGGTGATAGGGTGTCGTGAGTGGGCCCTGTGGTTGTCCTCTGCTGAAGGCACTGTGCTTGGTACAGACTCCAGCAAGAGAGAGGAAGAGGCACTGAAATGGACTGTCATGGGGCTGCAACAGTGGGCTGCAGCCCAGCAGTGGCTTAGGATGGTGCAGGGCCAAGCCGAATTCTGGTCTGCTGTGCGTGGGCTCACTGAGTCAGGAGGACCTGACAGCAGTAACTGAGGCCCCAGCAGGACCAGAAACGCCACTGCCTTGGTGTCCAGAACCCATCTCCCAGAAAGCATCTTCATCTTTCTGTATTATGCCTGGAAATGCACCAGCTTTCCTCATGGTTTTCTTTCTCTTGTTTGTCATGTGTCGTGTGTAGATAAATGTGGAGAGTTGTTATTAAGGTTTGTAGTGGAAATCAGTGTGCCAGTCTGCTCCTCTCAGAGCCCATTCACTCTGCTCACAGAGACGGGCAGGCCTGAGCCAGCACGTCCCTGCGTGGATGGTAAGACCAACAGAAGACCTTTAAACCAAGGTCTGGCAGCTGTGCAGTCAGGATGGTTTCTTTATACAGGTTTTTATTAAAAATTCAGCATCAGAGTGACAAGCTGAATTCTTACTAGCTCATTCTGTGAGGCCGGTGTTATCCTGAAACCAAAACAAAGACATCACCAGAAGAGAAAATGCAGACCAGTGTCCTTTATGAGTGTAGAAGTCCTCAGCAAAATACTGACAAGTGAAATCTGACCACATATAAAAAGGATTCTACCCCACGGCCAAGTGGGACTTAGCCCAGGAATACAAGAGTATTCTAAGATTTAGAAATCCATTAACTGCACACTCCCTATGTATCAACAAACAACAAAAACTACTTAATACCAGAGCAGAAGCATGTGACAGAATTCAGCACTTCATGGTAAAACACTCACACTTGGCGGTGGTGGTGGTGTTGGGTCACCATGACTCGTAGCGACCCTGAATGGTGGGTCTGAGCTGGTGCCCTGTCCTGCACCGTCATACGCAGGCCAACTGTGGTAGTCCGTGCGTCAGTCCATCTTTGACTCTCCACCTTTCCCAGCGTAATACCTGTTTCCAAGGACTCTTCTCTTCTGAGAACATGCCCAAAGTGAGACAAAATTTCACCATCTCTACTTTTACAGACTTGTTCGTTTTTTTGGCAGTCCGTGGAATATTTGATACTCTTCAACACCACAACTGAAAAGCATTGCTCTTTTGTCATCCTTATTCATTATACAACTTTCAGAAGCCTAGGAAGCGGTGGAAAAGGCACTCGCTTGGATCCATTGCATCTTGTCTTTGGTTTTGGGTTAGAACTCCAATGCAGCCACCATGTGTCCATTTACATTATTTCACTTATTTCATTTCACAGTTTTACTTACATAAAATCTTACATATTTTCATGATATTTGCAAGTTTAATTTTTAAATGCTGATATATAAAGTATTATTTTTTTCCCAGACTTTTCATTTATGAGTCCAGCATTTGCTTTTTGGTTTGTGACCTTGGGTGTATTAAGGTTACCTCTCTGAGGTCCAAAGTCACTATGCAGTGGGGCTAAGATGAGAACCTCCTTCATAGAGTGGTCTTGAAGGTGAAGGGAGAATGTTCCAGCGCTGGGCTCACTGTCACTCTCAGCCTGAACACAACTCCCGTCGTGTCCACTCTGACTTACAGTAGGCCAGGGCGGAACTGCCCCCCCAGGGTTTCTGAAGCTGTGACCCCTACAAAAAGAAATCTGCTGCATCCTTCTCCTGTAGAGTGGCCGGTGAACTCAAACCTCTGACCCTTTTGTTAGCAGCCTAATGCCTTAACCTCTCAGCCACCTGGGGCTCCTGAGCACCAGCAGTGCCTTAGAACTGCCGCCGGTGAGCACCTGGACTTTGCCTGTGCTTGTGTTGCATGAAGCTTTCCACACGTAACTGTGCCCTTGATGCTTACTCACTGTGGAGGAAACTCACATTACCCTAACCCTCTCACACATTCGCCGTGAAAAGAAATATCCAGTAAGTCGTACAGAATTAAACACCACTGCGCTCTGTTTATGAGGATTAGATAAAATACCGCTCTGCTCTGTAACCTTCTGCTCAAATCACAAAAAAGTTTAGAAACAAAACCGAAATCTCTGCTTCAGGAAGTGCTTTTCCTTTGAGATAATTCACATAATATGCATTGGGCTCAAAACATATTTTCCAGACGAGCTCTGGTGGCCTAGTGGCAAGAAGTTGCACTGCAATCCCAGAGGCTCATGGTTCGAATCCACCAGATGCTCTGCCAGGAAAGGAGGCACAATCTTCTCCTGTACCAGTCAGATCCGATTTGACAGTACACACACACACACACACAATAATAAAATAATAAAAATAAAAAAACAAAAACATATTTTCCTTCTTCCCTAGGGATGAATTTAATATTAAAGTTCTTCAAGCTTTTGTTGAGCTCCATGAGTTTGCCGACCTCAACCTCGTACAGGCCTTAAGGTGAGCCCTGCGCTGTGTGTCCTGTGTGCGAGGCGTGGAAGGGGCGAGCTGCGTGGGCTCTGTGGTGGCAGCAAGCATGGCCCTTCCTTATGAAAGTGCTGCCCACGGGTCAGGAGGCCGGCTCACCGGGCTGGATGCTCTCATCCTCAGTGGAGACCCCTGTTGCCTCGGGCTTCCTCTGCTGACCCTCGTTCTAATGACAGTAACTGTGTTGTGTGTTCTCTCCACGGCTGCTGATCGCTTCATAGTCATGGGACGGGCCCCACTTCCCACCAGACGTGACCTCCAGTGCCATCAGCAGGAGGCCACCAGGTGTGCCAGGGAGCTCTGTGTCCAGCCACATGTGGGCTCCCACTGTCAAGGAGAGCCAGGAGCTCCCAACCATCACCCCCGGGCTGGGCTGAGGGGATCCATCCCAGCTCGCTGAGGGTGCAGCCTGGCCATGAGGTCAGGGAGCTCACACTTGTGCACACACACTCTGGTTGTCCTTCGGCCCCACTGCCCGCCCTTTCCTTTCTCTGTGCTCTTCTGCTTGGGCTGGATCAGGACAGCTGTCTCAGGTCTGTGCGTGCTGGCCTTTGGTGGGTGGCATTGAGGCAGGACCTCCCCACCCGCGTGCACCTTCATGGACAGGTCCCTAGAAGAGGGCACACTAGCCTCCTGCCCTTATGTCGAAACCTCCCCACACAGGTGCTGCGTGCTCCTCCGTGTGGGCGAGCTGCACGCCGACAGTTAGCTGCAGACTGGATCCTGCACACCTTACTGCCTAGGTGCGCTGTATGTGCTGTGCTTCCTGGTGAGCTATGTGCCGGCCGCGGCAGCACACTGAATGCTGCAGCCACGGTGCTCCCCAGATTCCACTTTTGAGGCTTTTGTCATTCTCAGAGAAAAGGGCAACTTAGGGGCCAGGGTTGGAGGATCTGGCTGTCACTGCACCTGTCATTCTGTTTCTCTGGTTATGTGGTCTCTGGCTCAGAGGCACAGGAGGGTCTCCAGTAAATGCTGCAGGTTTGGGGGCCAGCATGGCCCTGCACACTGGCTGGGCCTGGCCTGGGCTCTGTGTGCCCAAACCTCCATGACAGAGGGCCCAGCACAGAAGGCTGTGACAGCTTGGTTGGTTCACTGACACCTGTGCTGGCTGTTCTCTGCCCTCGACTTGCGAGCTGTACCGACTCCGGCTGTATGGGGACGTGAGATAAGGAAGAGAGAGGGCCGGGGAGCCAGTGTGGGGCCACCACAGCCAGCAGTGAACGTGGCTGCCACCTAACTTTCAGCCATACGCTGAGCACCAGGGGATGCGGCCCTGTGGGCAGGGGTCACACGAGACAGAGGCCCTGATGCTGGGCCAGTAGGCAGGTAACGAGAACCGAGATGGTGACAGCGCTGGACCTCAGGACAGAGCAGAGGGGTACTCGGGAGTGAGCATGGTGTCTGGAGAAGATCTCACCTCGAGCTGGGGCCCACTGAGTGGAAAGGAACTGGAAAGGATGAGGGTGCAGCTGTCTGCTCACCTGTGCCAGACATCTGGAGCAGGTGTGTGGCTGCCTGCAGGGACAGAAGGGGATGAGGGCAGCAGGGGTGTAGCTTAGAGAGTGGCTGAACACTGTCATCTGAGACTGGTGTCCCCAGGTGATGTGCTGTGGTTGGAGGGCCAGCTCAGGGTTGCTGGGCCGCTGTGTGGAAGACCAGCTGGAGCGGGTGGGCAGTGGGAACCGGGTCAGGTCTCAGGGCAGCAAAGGAGGAGCAGCAATAAAGGCAAAGTACTCGGACTCTGGGTGCATGTTTCAGGCAGAAGCACTGCAGCTGTAGCCACGAGAAGACGACAGGTCTCCCATGACTGGATGAAGACGAAATCTCGATTCTCTCCCTCCTTCCCAACTCTGGGCCCTGGGCGAGCAGGTCTCAGGTGTTGAGAGAAGGAGGGAGGTGCAGTCTGCCCCCTGGAGATGCACCTGCTGCCCAGTCCCCACGGTCTCCTCCTCTGCAGGCAGTTCCTGTGGAGCTTCCGCCTTCCTGGGGAGGCTCAGAAGATAGACCGCATGATGGAGGCCTTTGCTGCCCGCTACTGCCTGTGCAACCCTGGGGTCTTCCAGTCCACAGGTAGTGCTGGCCCTTGGCCTCCCCCCTCTACCCCCTCAGAAAGCCCCTGTGGACACAGCTGAGAAGGACCTGCCTTGGCCTGGAGCCAGACAGCCTGCTGTGCCCCCTGCCTGGGAGGAGTGGCCCCTCTCGTGTGTGGTCGGCACCTTTCCCTGGTGTAGCCCCTCTGGATAGGTAGAGGCTGCCTGCTGAGCGCTGCCCTCGGGCCCTCGTCTGTGTTGCAGATACCTGCTATGTGCTGTCCTTTGCCATCATCATGCTCAACACCAGTCTGCACAACCACAACGTGCGGGACAAGCCCACAGCCGAGCGCTTCATCACGATGAACCGCGGCATCAACGAGGGCGGGGACCTGCCTGAGGAGCTGCTGAGGGTGAGTGTCCCTGGGCTCTCAGGACCCTCAGCTTCCTCGGGTCAACATGGCACTGGCTGTTGTCCCTTGAAAGCATGTCCCTAGAATCCCTCGGCATCTCCCTCCCAACTGGAGCCTAGAAGGTGGCTTCTCTCTGGTGCCCCCTCCCAGTCACTGCCGTTGCCCCTCATTGTAGAACTTATACGACAGTATTAAGAACGAGCCATTCAAGATCCCTGAGGATGACGGGAATGACCTGACCCACACGTTCTTCAACCCTGACCGGGAAGGCTGGCTCCTGAAGCTGGGTGAGTGCAAGCGTGTTGTCGCCAGTGTGGGCCCACCTGCTCCCCAGCCCACGGTCCTCAGTGTCCCCACACGGACGGCAGGAAGTCAGCATGCTCCTTCACACACATGCTCCAGTGGCCGGCCCCAGACACGACTGCCCTGGAAGCGTGGCCTCTTCCTACAAGCAGCCAGCACACGGCTCAGTGCCCAGCTCGGTTCAGGTCCAAGTCTGTCTCCGGTGCCCAAAGCGGTGCCTTCACCTCTGCAGCCTCTGTCTCTCTTGGTTTGGCGTGGCTGTGACTGACGCGTGGTTTACATGTGCCTTCTTGTCTCCCTTCTGCCTGTGGCTCCCACCTTTCTGTTCTGTGACGGGCTGTCCCTGCTTGTCCTGCGCTAGGAGGTACGTACCCAGTGGCTTCGCACCCCTGCCTCTCAGCCACTCATCTCCTCCTGGTCTCCTCACCCCTCACCGGCACAGAGCTCGGGCCACGCCACCATTCATTCCACCCTGTGGCCCTGCCGCACTGGCCTTGGCTTTGGGGTGCCAGCATGGTGCCCCTCAGGACAGGTCATGGGCAGGCATGGCCCCTGAAGCACATGGCATGTTGTGTGGGGCTAACCGAGCAGTGCCTACCTGTGGCCTGGGGCAGACGCCAAGGCCTGGTGGCTCCTTCATTCTTTATACTTGGGGTGGTCTAGAGTTTCCAGGGGTCATTTTGACTGCGTGGATTGGGATTTTGACCTTACCACCCTGCTTTTAACTTTCTGTTATGATTTGGGTGGGTATTTACAGGACAAAATTTGCTTTCCATTCAACAGTTCCTGCACGTTCTGTTCCGTGACGTTGATTGCAATCCCCACATTGTAACAGCACTCTCCCTCTTCCTCCCTGTGTTTCCCATTTCACTCCACCTCTAGCTTTCTCCCTGGGCACATGCTGCCTTTTTGATCTCATCTGGCTGGTTGCTCTGAGGCATGCTTTCCACTCAGGGATATTGATTACTTGTAGGCCTGTCCATTGTTTGGCTGATAGTTGATCCACGGGGTGAGTTCCATTCCAGGCTTGAGGATGCCTAAGGGCGTGGTCTGGGGGTCCTTCCAGGCTAGTATCTGACCAACAGGGAACTTAGCCTTCCTTCTAACATTCAGACCTGCAAGCTGTGGCAGCTGCTGCATGAAGACATTTCTGGAGAGCGACTTGTTTCTTGTTGTGTGGAATACGTTGTAATGATTTTCAGCACGATGTGCTTTGGTGGCCTGTGAGGTGTGATGTGGATGGAGCCAGGAGTCACACCTCAGGATCCAGTGTCCGTCAGATGGCTCAGGGTCTCTTGGCCCTTACTCCCCTGGCTCTGTTCTGGTTTGGAAGAGTCTGGTTGTAGACCTAGAATCTTCATCCTAGGTCCTTGGGACTTGAAGGCCTGTCACCTCAGACACCAGGCTAAGATCTCAGACACCTGTGGTTCTGGAGCAAGCAGGGTGGAAGCCCCACTGTGAGCAGAGGTGTTTGAGGACACCCGGTCTTCCAGCTCGTACACAGCAGGAGGGCCCTCTGGTGGACGGTAGCCGCCTCTGCTGAACCTGTGGGAGGGACGCACTGGAGGGCTGTATTCCTTTACCCTTTACCGTTTTATGCTCGTTCGCTTTTGCTGCCTGTGGAATGCACCAGTTCAGCACATGCCTCCACACTGTCCTTCAACACTGGTTGCATTCTGCAAGTGTTCTCCCTTCTCAGCTCTTCCAAGGTCCCGCCTCCGTTAACATGCACGTACCAACCCAGCTCACCCTTCAAATCTCTGTTGTCAGCGTGACCTCACAGATGGGCCTCTAAACAGCACAGTGTGGGGTGGTGACGCTGACCCAGGGTGCCAGTGGATGCACCCACACAAACCAGGGCTCAGTTCTTGGGTCTCCATGTGCCCTGGGCACCTGGCATGCTCTCTGTCCTTCCTGTGAAGTCCGAGACCAGAGACAGCGTGGTCACTGGGCTGGGTCACCTGCAGGAACTAGGTCCCAGGCCTCCATTCTGCTAGATTATGTAGTTGTCAGCAGCCAGACACTCGGCCCAGGGCTGCTCCCTGGCAGCGCGGCCCCAGACACCGCTGAGGGCTGAGGATGCCAGGCGTTGGGGGGAGTTGTTGACGAGAATGCCCAGCGCCAGGCCTCCAGCATGGCCCCTGGTCACTGAGTGCCCAAGCCCACAGCAGGTGTTTGGGCGAGTACAAGAGTGTGCCCCGACAGACAGCGGTCCCAGGGTGACCTGGTGGGAGTGCCACTGCCTCGTGGTCACTTTCCTCGTCCAGATGCCTGTGTCCTCACGGGGTGCAGAGTGAGGGATCGCTCCCCTTGAGCTCTGGGGTCAGTGTGTAAGGACCCAGCAGGAGCAGGGAGTGGAGCGGTCACAGAGGGTCAGTGTGCAGCAGGTGACGGGTGTGTGAACGTGTCTGATGGCCACAGCGGAAAGGTCAGTGACAAGGCGGAGTGGGTGCTGGGACCATGTCGGAGAAGCAGAGCCGTGTGTGCACACAGGTGGCACGGGCACGTGTGAAAAGTGTCGGTGTTAGAAGGTGTGCGTGGTGGTGTGCGTGTGTGCTGTGCTGTATGTGCACCTACGTGGGTACTGTGCATATTAAAGTCAAAGTCATTGCTGTGGCGTCACAGTGGACTCATGGCTGGAGCTCAGTTGGGTTTCCAAAGACTAGACTTAACGGGGAAAACTTGTCCAGCCTTGTCCCGAGGAGACGCTGGTGGCTCGAACCTCCAGAGAGGCCTGGAGATGGGTCTAGTGGCACAGTTTCCTGAAGGGTAGGCCACCACCACCCCCTGCTGTGAGGGTCCCCAAAGAGGCCTGGTTCTCCCACTGCCGCACAAACCAACGGGAGACAGGTTGGTGAGGAGAGAGCGGCGCTTCGTTACACGCATGCCAGAAGGCGGGAGCTGGGGGCCAGGAAGGTCGGAGGGAGTGTTTGTGGGCTCGGTTAAGGACATAGGGGAGCTCACGCTTACTCACTTTGGGACGGGAATGTGTAGTTGGTTATCTTTGGAAAAGGAGAGATCACGCCAAGTCAGTTGACTGACGCAGCTGGCCTCCAACACGGCGTCTCTCCAGTGTAATCATCACGGAGCGTGTCCTTTCAAGGTGACTGCCCCCTCGGAGATCGCACAGCGGTCGTGCTGTGGGTCCTGGAAGCTCTTAGCCGAGGTAGAGAGTAAGAGGGAAACCTGAGGGATGCCAGGCCACCCACACAAGATCCGTTCCAGGCCTTCTCCTGCCTGTCGCAGACGGTGCTGGCTTTCTGGGTCTGGAGCACATCACGTAGAGAGGACAGCTGAACTGGAAGGTCTGTGCATCAGAGTGAACCTTGCGGTAATTCTATTAACGGGTAAACGGTTAAAATCTTCTTCCCGTCCACTGCGCTCTGGTAGCCGTGTGTGCACGCCAACCCAAAGGCAGGTGGTTGGAATCCACCAGCTGCTCCGTGGGAGAAACGGGCATTCTCCTCCCGTGTGATTTACAGCCTCTGACAACCTGCCGGAGAGTCAGCTGTGAGTCCGGGGGCAGTGAGTGAGTGGCTCATTGAAAAGGTCGTCTCGGTATAAGGTGGTGGCGGTTGGGTGCCATCAAGTCCACTCTGACTGGCAGCGCCCCTGTGCACAGCAGGTCTGAACCTTGTCCTGTCCTGCACCGTCCCGTGGTCCCCGATGTGCTAAGCTCACTGTGTCGGTGGCTGTTTTGGTGGCTGTGGCTGTGTCGGTGGCTGTTTTGGTGGCTGTGGCTATGTCAGTGGCTGTTTTGGTGGTTGTGTCGGTCCATCTTGTTGAGAACCTTCCTCTTTGTCTCTGGCCCTTCACCTGACGATGACTTTTCACAGGGACAGAGTATGTGAGACAGGTTTCATCATCCTTGCCTCGAGGGAGCCCCTGCACCTGGCTTGCATTCCTCCCGGACAGACTTGCTGGTCCTCTGGGCATTTCAGGGGTATTCCACACTCTTCCTCAGCACCACAGTTCCAGTGCCTTGAGTTTTCTCCTCATCCTTACTCATTGTTCGGCCGTCACATGTACAAGCAGCAGTTGAAAATAGCTCGGCTTGGATATGGTGCACCTTAGTCTTTAGACTGATTTCCTTGTCCTGACATTCTGAAAGAGATCCTGATGTCAGACTTCCTCAGGGCAACACGCCTTGTGATTTATTGCTGCTGTTATCACTGGTTTTACTTGTGGATCCAAGTAAAATTGTTGACAACTTAAGTCCTTTCTCCTCCTCTCCTGATGTTGCCGATCAGTCCACTGGCAGACGTTTCTGTTTTCTTGTGGTGCAAAGTGGTGTTTGTTGAGTGCATCACATTGGAGCTGGCTGACGGCTGGCCCTCCGGTAGATTTTCAGAGGCTGTAACTGGCACGGGAGGAGATCACTCACCTTTCTCAGGTGGAGCCGCTGGTGGATTCGAGCTGCACGCTTTTGGGCCGACAGCACAGCTCATTACCCACTGGGCCCCCACAGTTCCCTAATAGAAGATTGTTGTTGTTGTGTGCTGTCGAGTCAGAACTGACTCATGGTTGACCTTGCGGCAGGTGTTCAGGGTAGTAAATCACACCTCTGTGGAAGGAGTAGAGCAGCCATCTCCCACAGAACAGCTGGTGGATTCAAACTGCGTACCTTTGAGATTGCAGCACAGCAGAATTACCACTAGGCCACCAGAGGGTCTTATTACTTTGTTAATGGAAAAGTGACACTTTTTAGGTATAGATTGCAGTGTAGAGAAACAAATGGTCAACAAAAGATGTCCACTTGACAGAGAGGTTTTCCCTGAGATTCTGTACTCAGAGAGTAAAGAGTTCCAGCAGAATGAGGGGGTTTCTTTCAATTGCCCTTCTAGACTAAAAGAGCACTTTTTAAAAATATTAAGGAAATGTTCATTTTCTGTTGATTTCTTGACTGTTGCAAATATAGGGAGGTACATGTGTGTTTTTGTGGTGGGGT